GGTGTGGGCTCTGCCTCCCAAGCTTCGGCAAGTTCCTTCTGGGTATCTCACGATGCCCCCCGCGGGGCCAACCCTAACCCCAACCCCAACCCTAACCCTAACCCAAAAGCTGTCTAAGCCTCCTAACCCTCAGAAAATCCAACCACCAAAGCCAAGAAACTCAGCCGCAACTGGAACGGCACACTACCAAAGACAACTTTTTGGCTTTGATTTGAAATGTACTTCCTTTTTTTTTTTTTTCTTCTTGTGCATGTACTTCCAATTAAAAAATATAATCAAACTATGTATTTAAAAAACTATTTTAGTAAAGAAGGGTCTGTTAACCTCACTCCACCACGTGTACAACCAGCTAAAATAAAAGACAGGCCATCAGACTGTTCCCTTGGGCTCCACACCAAGGGCTTGCTCAGCCCCACATGCAAGAAACAGCTGTCCCATGGCCCCAGAGCCCTTCTGAAGTCAGTGACATATATCTTTAAAAAAAATAAAGAAAAAAAAACTGCCCTTTCACACAGGTGTTTTCATGTGAAGCCAGCTGGGAATTCTGGGGGGAAAAAAGATGCCGCAACACTTTCATATCTCCCGAGGCCAAGACGACCCAAAGTTGCTACAGCCATTTTTACATCCATCTGAGTGCGATTACCGTAATATTGGGAAAGTTTCCCCAGCTGGACATCACAGGGTGGTCATGCTTCACTGAGGCAGCCAGGCCCGAGATCTGACGCCACAGAAGTTTCTAGAAATGACGATCAGCTGCTGACCGTATGTCACAGGTGTGTGGGTTTGTGGGGTCTCGGCACTCACCTCCACATCCATCTTAGTCAAAGCGCTCCATGTGATGGGGCCCAGCAAGGGGGGGTCGCAGACATGCCACAATCAGCTAAGTTACGTCACTGGATATAAGAAAGTTATTTAGTCCCGGTTTGACTTGACAGGACAGGCCCTTGTAAGAAAAGATGACGAAATTAGGCTTCCAGGTGTCCATAATGCAACAAAAAAGCAAAGAAAATATCCAGAAAGGGGTGATAAACATTTGCGAATTAAAACTTTCAAAAAGTTTTTTATTTTCTCAGAATTGAAAAAGCTTCGCCTATAAAGGTGTCAGGTCATGTGGGTCCAAGACAGCAGAAAAAGTTTGATGGAATCAAATAAAAAGTATAGAACAGCAAATTAACTAAGGCGTCACCCAAAAGTTTGGGTGAACGAATCGATGAATTTCAGCTTCATGCTTTGGCAACGTGAGTGAGGGTAGGCGAGATCGGGAGCTGGATAGACGAATCGGAGCGGCGTCTACAGTTTTGCAGGCGCTTAACCGGTGTGTCGTGGCTAAGAAAGAACTGAGCCAGAAAGCAAAGCTCTCGATCTATTGGTCCATCTTCGTCCCTACCCTCACCTATGGTCATGAGCTATGGGTAATGACCGAAAGAATGAGATCGCGAATACAGGCGGCCGAAATGAGGTTTCTCCGCAGGGTGTCTGGGCTCTCCCTTAGAGATAGGGTGAGAAGTTCAGATATCCGGGAGGACCTCAGAGTAGAACCGTTGCTTCTCCACATCGAAAGGAGCCAGTTGAGGTGGTTTGGACACCTGATGCGGATGCCTCCTGGACGGCTACCCGGAGAGGTTTTCCGTGCATGTCCTACAGGGAGGAGGCCCCGGGGCAAACCCAGGACACGCTGGAAGGATTATATCTCTCGGCTGGCCTGGGAACGCCTCGGTGTCCCCCCCGAGGAGCTGCTGGAGGTAGCTGGGGAGAGGGAGGTCTGGGTGCCTCTACTGAAGCTGCTACCCCCGCGACCCGAACCCCGGACAAGCGGTAGATGATGGATGGATGGATGGATGGATGGATGCTTTGGCAACGTTTACTGTAATTTTGTGAAGTTTACCCAGAAGCAGCACCAGCAGCATGTGGGAGTTCAGAGAGATGGAACCACACACCTCCAGTGAAGGGGGGACAATTATGTTTAAATGAGCTTCATATTGGTGTACAACTATGATGTCTGTCGGAGGGTGTCAGCATAACCATTATAAGATCGCTCCTAGAACCACCCCAGTATTTACAGCAACCATCCAATACATCCAGGTGTTGACTGACTCACGTAGTTTTCCTAATCAACACCTTTTCAAGTGGTTTAAGTAATTAACTGAACAGGTGAAGAAATTTAAACACAGAATGGGTGAGTTGCACCTGAGGAGAGGTTTTGAGAACCAAAGCAGTGGTCACCTAACAGTCCAAACATCAGTTGGTTTTTGGAGGAAGACAGAAATTCTTGTTTATTGTGTTAGTTAATTTTCATATGTTCTAATGTTAAAGTGGGCTTTTTTTTCAGGGTGGTGTGTGGCACAGAGGGTACATGCGATCAGAAGGTCGCCGGTTCAAATCCCAGCGTCAGCAGAGTGATGTCACCTTTGGGCTCCTGAAGCAAGGCCCAACTGCCCGGGCGTCGCTTTAGATACAAGCACCAGCAAAAAGAATAAAAACCAAAGTGACACCCACAGAAACAGGTTCCACATGTTTGATCACCTTATAAAATGGGGCAAAGGCAGCAGAGCACCAAGAGGGACCGGGGGTGTATATCTGTGTATAGGACTATGGTCTTCATCCGTGATTTGAGCAGTAGTCCAAATTTGATATGACAAAAAAGAGAGACAAAAGACACACAGAGACAGGTTGCATCTTCAGAGTGGCACCACCACACTTTACTACAAGAAAAGGACCTGCTTTTCAACCAAGGAAGCTGCCCTCCACTTGCATTGATACATCAGGAGAAAAACATAAGCAGAAAGACAGGATAACTCACCGTACGCGGAGCAGAAGCATGGACATGGTGCCCTTGGGAGATCACAACATAAACGTGTCCGTTACATCCTTCCCTTTGAAGCCACTCACCCAGCAGAACAAAAACCACAACGCGCCCAACTCCATCCTCTAAAAGACCAGAATCTTAAAATGTCAGGCTGAAGGTAGGATGATAATTCTAACTACAAAACAAAGAAGACACCTCGACAATTGGCAATGCATCGTTTGTTGCTGGAGAGGCCGACCCACTATTGCAGGAAGGACTTTGAATCCATCATCATCTGTACTGATAGCTGCGGGGCAGCTACAGGCTTGATAGGTCACCCTCAACTGGGATGGATGTTAGTTCACCACAGATCACCACCATAAGCCTTAGAGGTTATTAGCGAAAGTTGGAAACCCATCGCAGGGACCCCTGTCACAGTGCAACCCTTGTTAATCCTTATGCTTCCAGGAACAGCTTCTGGATGAACCCTAATCAGAAAAGCGGCCACTGGACACTGAGGTATGGATGGTCTTCACTGACGCTGCAGGTGAGGGCGGTGGAAGTCGTCGGCAAAGTCCACACATCACCTGACAGACTCCATCATCACGGTCTAGTCCACCCAGAACAGTGTCGCACGCTTACAAGGCTGCCGGCACTCGACCCGGCAAGCGGCACGATCATCACACCGACTCCAAGCAGCCAGCTAGGTCTAGTGCCACGGTGATCCACATCACGCCAGGAGGGCAGAAAGCAGACAACCAAGGGAGCTTAAACGGAAAACAAGACTTGTACTTCAGTGGGTACACCCAGCCCAAGTAACCACAGCAACAGCAGCCCAGGTAACTAGAGAAACTGAGAACTCAGCTGAAAACTAAAAAAGGCTACAATGCTACAGGTTATCAACGAGCAAGTCCCTGAATTAACATTTGTAGCTCCTTCATAGTTTACCGAATTGCACACCTACCTTCATTTAACCCTCTGGGGACAAGGGCCTCATCGGCGATGCTGCGTATCTTTCTAGAGTATTTCAGTTCATAACTCGCTGCAATTTTATTGTAGAAACATGAAAAAAGGATGACTAAACACGTAATCTGTCTTCTTTTCAAAAATTAGGTTAAATCGGCAAAAAAAGTTAACCATGTCACCTTACTTTGTTTTACCTGCATCGGGGGCGTGTAGTACCGCTCTCACCCGAAGATCGCTATTCACATTCTAAATAGCCGCATTAGCGCGTATTCAAATCTCATTCGCATGGTAATTTGATGAACAACGCAGCGGTGAAACACGATCCAAATACATCCCCATCAGCACCATAAAGGGGGGAGGGATGTGGCCAGGTGTCAAAGGCTCATGCATACACATAAAAGTTGCTACATATTCGATTGAAGGAGGCCAGAAATAGTGACATGAGGTTTTTCTTATTCATTTATCCAACTGAATGTTGTAACTACACCATTTAGTCATCTTCATGTAGCCAAGACTTTGGTGATCAGATATCTGGGATCAAAACAAACTGCCACCATTGCTTACTATGTACTTTTATAATGTTTCTGCAAGTGTTCCAAACTGCATTTTGCAATGTCTATACTTTGATGTCAAATTACAAGCTTAACATAAATCTGACATATTTACAAAGTACATTAAAATTAAGATGAGGGTAATGCCAAAACAAATAATTAGCCATAAATTAAGTTTATGATATTGAATGAAATGTCTGACCATGCCCCAGGCAGTGAAAGTGTGTTCCCTACCCTTAGTCCCCAGAGGGTTAAAAAGAGAGTGCCAGTTTAACAAGATTAAACGCACGTCTGCAAGATCCATATAAAATCTGCATAGTAAAAACGTGTCCAAATGCATGAGACAATTGTATAGAAGAAAAAAAAAAAAGATTTCTGACTCTCTCCATGATTGCTTAGCAAACCAGTCTTACTCAAAAGTTTCTGGGAAAAAAGAAAAGCACCAATTCTGGCCAAATGTTTTTGTGCTTGCCATGAAAGGCCAAACATTTCAGCACATCCCCGTCAGAAGCCGGACCCTGCACACAGACTACTCTTCCTCAACAGATTCCACTCCTCGGACAAAATTTAACATTCTGGCTTTTAGGATGTTGATGGACGGCACGTGGGGGGTGAGTGGCCCTGAGAGATCTGGGGGCGGGACGGACAGGCACCGGGTCACTGCCACACTGAACAAACCACTTAAACGCTACAGGATATCCAATGTCGTACAGTCATCATTTAATACATCAGCCAGTTCCATGGACGAAGGAGTGGACAGCACCACCCTGTGGTGCGTGCGTGAAATGCAGAGGTGGGGATTGGGTATGAGGTGGGGGGGGGACCTGCTGGTTACTGTTCCTTCTTCTCGGCCTCTGCCTCATCCTTGAGGGCAGGATCTGCCTCTGACAGGGATTCTTCGTACCTGAAGGGGGGACAAGGCAAGGGCAGAATGGATATTAATGTGGGGAAAATACAGGCAATAATGTGCTGAAAGAATCTTAAGAACTCAAAACGCGTTTCCCCCACTGTGCTAAACTGCAGCGACATGACAGCTTGTTGCCTGAAAAGTAACGCAGACTGAAGAGCAGCATGAAACCTGCCCCCTTGCTTTAAATAAAAACATCCTTTAAATCCTGAATTGTTAAAAATCATAACACTGACATAAGAACAGCTGCCTCAGCATAAAGGGATGGTAAAAGTTCAGAAAAGCTCCCAATAAACAGTAACTGGTTTTATTTTTTATTTAATGAGTTGTATTGCTTGTAACATGGGTGATGGTTTAAACTGATTGACTGGAAATGCAGGAATAGGGAGTAGAGCGCCCTCTACTGTGGCGGAGGATAGCTGTGCAGAAGTGAACCTGTATGATCCAAATGGCTGGGAAAGTTCTGAGACACACAGGCAAAAAAGCAACGTGGCACTGAAGGAGAGTTCCTTACTGAGGAGACACTAGCCCCTACAGGCTGGCCGGCGCAGGGCAGCACTAGCGGGGTGAAGAGATAGACAAACAAAGCTCTCTCTCCGCTTAAGCGCTAAGAGGAGCTAAGAAAGGGAAATCCTTCGGCAGGCACATGTGGAGCGGAGGCAAAGTGGGGCAGCTCTGACAGACTGGGATTGGGGCCAGAACCTCAAACAGCAGACAGCATCAGCTCCAAGACACAGGCGGGAATTAAGGCGATTAGGGGAGGGATGTTCAGATGGATAAAACCAGGGAATAGGGGTGACTGGAAGCAGTGGGTATAATGGTAGTCGAGGCAGGTTTGTGATCTTGAACTGAGCGCTTAACCTGTTAAACGTCTAGCAGATCAGATGGGAAAAATCAGCAAGTTGCCCTGGATAAAGGCATCAGCCATGTGAGCGAATAACCAAGGACCTCCCTGCCAAGCTGCACCCTGGGCAACCAAAACCACACCCCAATCCCCCCCCCACAGCCGATAAAAGGGAAAAAGTGCAAATATGGAGGACGACAGACAAATGGCCCATGCATGCTGTGCATGTAGGTTTGGCAACTGAGACACACATCCTTACCGGCACATAAACCACCCCCGCACAGCATGGGGGTGCTGTACACGGATACACTTAAGATTATAACGGCAACCAATACAAATAAGGGTCACCGCCCCACCCCAACCAATCCATCCTCCTCACCTGAACATCTCCGTGAGCTCTCCTTTCACTAGTGCCACCACCACTGGAAACCCAATGCATGCTGGGACCAGGTAGAGCAGGGCAGGCTGGGAAGGGAAGAGAATGTGTTACACACAAGGTCCTCCACCCAAGGCTATACAGCAAAATTATTAATGTGCAATGAGAAAGTAAGACATGACCTACAAATGGGTAAACCTCAGGTAAAATTTACTACAAAATTAAGGTTGTTTGCAAAACTCAATTTTGCAGGGATTTATTGGCTTGAATAGAAATGGGTAACAGAGGAAATGCAGTAACAGGTAATTTGCCCAGAGCTGTGGATCATCAGCAAAACACAGCACAGTAACGGCTCACGGGCAACAGTGTGACAACAGGGACTCTGCAGGAGGGTCACCGGACCTGGGCGTGCTTGAAGGTGTGCATCACAAATATGGTGAGTCCCAGGCCGAAGATATAGGCCAGGAAGCTGGTGTAGAAATAGGTGCGGGAGTCTTTCCTCAGGCTGGGAACAGAGATGCATCAGGGTCAGAACTGACCAGAAGATGGCGCCACAACACAGAAGGCATGTAGACTGTCACCAGCATCTAAGGCTTCACTCACCTAACGTCGAACCGCAGAAGTAACGCAATGAAGATACCTAAAGATAAAAAAAGATAATTGAAAATCCCTTCATTAGTGTTATAGCGTCCTCTAGTGTATGTTCAGGGGACACAATCTCAATGCAGACCTCATAAGTTCAGTCAATATAGTATGTGAGATACAGCTCCTATTAATGCTGTAATCTGTATTCCACTATGATTCAAAGCTAATACAACCATCAAGTCCAAAGGGTGCCCGTCTGGGACCTACATCTAAGCTCTCAACAGCTTACCTAATAAACTTGGCAGTTTTTATTTTATTTTTTTTATGGCCGGGTTGCCTTGCCTGGGATGACGATGTCACCGAGACCCAGCATGGCGAAATTGTTCGCTTCCAGACCCTTCTCCAGCAGGTCCTGTGGGAACACCACTGAGGTGTGGAGAGAAGGGAATCAAAACTCAGACATAGCTGTGTACATGAATAAATCACAACAGTAATGCTAATAAGATGCAGAAAAGTCCCCACTGAGAACATTGCGTGTGGTTGCTCTGCCAAAGGCCACCATCAAGACCATCAGGACT